GAATGGTCTTTGAAAGTGGTCGGAGTGAGTGCGATTTGAAGTAAATTCATCGAAGAGCAGTGGTGTTTTCGGATGCTGCGATATTCTTCTGAATAATTATAGATAACATAGATTAAATGAAAGATGAAATTTGTTTGAGAAAAAAACAGATCGTGAAGTATTAAAGTAAAGCAATCAAAGTAAAAATGCAGTTTTAGATGAAGAGTCTTACTCTTCTAAGACTGGATTCATATTGAGCTCGTATTAATACCTGACGAGGTCCCTGCTGATGTCTGCTGATACAATAAATTGAACGAAAGATAATAATAAAGAAAATAAATGGAAGAAGGAAATTTATTTTAGAGAAAACAGCTCGTGGAGGACCAAAATAAATCACTTGAAATAAAAATGCCTACTAATACAGTCTTAGATGAAGAATCATAGTCTTGTAAACCTAGATTCACATTGTCCTGATATTAATACCTGTTGAGGTCTCTGCTGATGCAAAGGCTGAACAGCAGCACCCACGTCGCCCTGTCCATTGTTCTGAACCTCGTTCGACCCACCCACGTACAGTGTGCCACCTTCTCGAGGATTTTGCTGCACGATAAGAGCACCTATTGGCTCAGGAGTGAACGGCGGAGGGGTTTCCAACCTTTTGATTTTCTCTGCCGGGAAGCTCTTGAGTCTTGGCGAGGAACACGAACGCATGTCTTTGGACCTGTCCTGAGAAGTGAACCTCGTTTTAGGGATACAGGCGTCGATGGTCCTGTTCACCGTGTCCGTGTGCTCCAAGCAGGGGACATTTTGCGTGGACGGTGACTTCTCAGGTCTCGATTGCATCTGCTGCATCATGTTCATCCTCGCGTGCAGACTGGACGCGCTTGGACGCCTCGCTGACGCCTTCTGATTGGCATTTCTGTCCGCTGAGGCTTTCCTGGATGGACAAATTTTGATTTAAAATTAAGAAATGGTTCTGGTCAGCCTTACGATTAAAATTATCTACGTGAGATTTGACGTTCCGTTGATTAAACGGGGATAGAAGCGTCGAGAGGCTAGCCTGACCTTTTGTTCATGGTTGTTTAGAATTTTGCTTCGGGTGCTGATTGCGGCCAGAGAAACATCATCCACGTTGGACCAGGTAATTTTCTATCGCTGATTTTGCATCACCACCGGGCTGAAAACTCTGATTAGCAAGGTTCACTGGGGGTTTTAAGGTCGAAGGCGAAAAATTGATAAGACGGTGGGCTGGGTTGCCATGGACACGTCGCAGGGCACGTTCTCGACTCGGATTCTATTCACAGTTCGCGTGAGAATGTTCTGCTAACTTCGTTCTCGTGCTAATCTGGTGGCAAAATTGCGTTCTGCAATTCGACTCTGACGGATTATAAGATCCGATTAGCCGCAAAAATTGAAGCCTCAAGACGCGAGTACTCTTCTTTGGGAACCATGAAACGCGAATTCTACGCTGGCTCGAAATTTGGTGTAGAAGTCCAAGAAATTCAAACTTGAGAGTAGCAATATTTTATAGTAAATAAGAATAAGTAATAATAACGAATATATTATTTTAAATTCTTGAGAGTAGATTAATCAGCAATAGCACGAGAAGTCTTCGTGGCTTTACTTAGGGGTTGAAAAATAATTACTTACTGACGTAGAAGAAATCGATAAGAAAGACAAAGGTGTAGCTTGAATATTTTGCTATTTTTATTGCGTATCGCTTACAGGAATCACACATCGCTGTGTTGTCGATGTTACAGCAGAAATGTAACTGTAGTTTAGGTGAATCTCATTTGTCAGCGCCAATAAATTATTAATATAATTATATCGATAGAACACTCAAAAATTTTCTCTTCGAACGCGATACGACCGAGTCAGAAGCTTCGCCGCCGCAATCGTACCAAAATCTTGACAACGTGACTTGATTCATAAAAAAAAAATCACAGTAAAAAAAAAATGAATGGTACCTGCTTTCTATTGCGAGCAACCAGTCAAAACGCTGACGCGGATCGTGATCGCGTTCGATCGCTCGTTAATGGAGTTTGAAAAGTGCGTCGAAGCGCGGAAAAATATAATATATTCTGTTCGAGACTGCTGTCGCGTTTCATATTGAAAAAAACACATATTTTTTGGGGGGAAAAACACGTATTGAAGCGACGCAGTGTCGAACATTAACACGCTTGACTAGCGTGTACTCGACGAATACCAGTGCTTATCCGAAAAAACTGTGAATCGGCGTTGACAAATGAATTCCCTCGTCAATCCAAAACTTCAACGAGCTACACTAGTATTAATTCAATAGGAATCGTTACTGGCCGCTGTTGATTGACGTACGCTTGTCGAACTTGTCGTGAAGTGATGATTTTACCACCATAATTAGGTGGGCACATCGTTGCAAATAATTTTCGTACTTTCAGAGTTGTCGACGTTAATCAAAATTCGTAGTTCGTCATTTTGGGAAAAGATCGTTTGGGAATAGAGTCTAAATTGAGTATTGTCTCGTTATGTTTTTTCGTAAGTCGTTGACATGACTAAATCAAATTTGATCGAGTTTACAAATTTGGGGTTGGGACACGTTCGAGTAAAGTCTAATCTAGAATTTTTGTCACGAATGGTGTAAGATTTCCAATTTAGGAATTGACAATAGTAAGGAATTTTTCTCAAATCGTGATTCAAGTCTAATATCTCGGGAGATTTCGTCCTTTTCAATTTTCTCAAGTTCACAGATCTTTCCAGGAGAATCTTGAAAAATTTCGTGTGGTTTCTGAAAATGAAACGTTCAATGAATTAATTTAGAAGAAACGAAACGAACGAAGAATAGGAAAGGGGTGGAAACCACTGGACCATCTATATTTCATTTGCATTACGTTGGACTCTGGTTCTTTGCTCGAAATTCGTCTTTGTCGTCGCGAAAGATTTATCCACGCATCCGTCCGTCGTCCTCGTTGGATCCCACGAGGAATAACCTCGCAGCATTGGTCACCAAATCCTGTATTCAGCAAACAGACTTCGCTGGACCACTAGCAAGGATGGCAAGACGCTATGCAAACAAAACGAACAAGGTATAAGAATTAAATTCCATTGTTTCCGTAACAGGGGTATTCTGGTCCAGATGATCATCATCAAGGTAATTTGCTAAACATTTAGCTCAAATACTTCAAAACTTAAAATATAAAATTTAATTTCTAAATTTTCTTGTGTTATAGCTTGGACCTCCGAGACCAGGATACCACCTCATCGTCGAAAATTGGCGTTATTATGGAGAACTGACTGCATGCTGGTCGACAAGGCGAGCAAGGCGGAGGCGTGGGCGGCGGACAAGGCATACAAGGAACCATTTTCTTGGTGCAAACGTACGTCACTACCGGTCGCGGTGGAGGGCAAGGCGGCGGCGGTGGATGACAGGTCACGACCACCTTCGGTGGACAAGGAAGCGGGCAACATGGTGGACAGGGCGGACAAGGCCGTAGGTAAACCTAATTTTGAAACGTTATTAAGTTACTCGTGATAACAGTGTAGGCTTAATACATTTACGTAGCAATTACATCGACTGTAGGCGAGTTTCCGGCTCCCTTTCACCTTTGACGAATGCTTGCCACGATGTTTTAGAAGTGTCGTTAAATGGAGATTCTTTCTCGCGCGACGAAATTACCGAATTTTACAAGAAGAGTAAAACATGTGTAAAGTGTAAAAAGTGTGGGATCTTTAAATAAGATTGATTCCTTCTGTCAGGACGATTCTAATTATTTTTATAGCGAGGAATCGACCTCGAAAATTTCCCCACATTTTTGTTAACGTTTCGTGGAATATATTGTACACGCAGGGTGCGTGTAACTTCGAGGGTTAAACGATTTAATTTTTTATTTAACTCACTGCTGTTCTAGTTGGTTTAGGGGGACACCGTGGTGGGCATGATGATCTGCACACGACTGTGGGTGAACAGCAGGGTGGCGGGGGTGAACAACATGCCGATGGAGAACAACACACAGGTTTTGGACAACTGGGTACAGTTCCACAGCACCCGCTGCACGAGAAAAATAAATATAGAAACTTTTTATGATTTTAATTTTGCTCGTCTTACAAGAAACTTCGATTGTCTAGATTTCAAAATATTGAACATCTGATTCCGTTCTGCATCGAAGTTTAATCGAGCAAATTTTATTCGACGTTGGAAATCTTTGAATCAACGCGATCGGCAATGGAACCCAGAGAGATTGGACTAGAATTTACTTATTCATAACGGCGATAGGGGAACACTGGTGTGGCAAGCGATGTTACGCAGACATTTCCCCCGAAGATCCACAAAACCGTGAACTGTCATCAAACCGCCCGATGATGGACGAGCCCCCATCCAACGAGCGACGACGGCATCGAGCTGCTTCAATCGTTCGTGGCCACTTGAAATTTTGCTGGTAATGGTCGAGAAATGGCGATGCGTTGCCAATTATTTTACTTGTTTTGCTCGTTCGTTGCCCAGACGATCCGACCTTCCATTATTCAGACGATCGATTCATACCTAAACGAGGAGGCGGTGATTTCCTCTATCGTTTACTTAACAAAGTGAGTAGAATGTGCACTAAGAATGATATCATTTAATTTAAAAATCACAAAACACAGAAGATCAAACAAAGTAGACAAACATTATTTTTTAGCCACAAACTAAATAAACTAAAGATCAATAAAAGTAGATAAGCATACCTTACTTGCTAGTTACGATCCAAATAAATCAAAGATGAAGAAATTAGACAAACATACCTTACTTCCTAGTTATTGGGTTCTCCAGAAAGTTCGAAAGTTCGTGCCAATTTTTAAGAAAAATTCAAAGTCACATTTGAATGTTCACATATATTTCTTGAATTACATTGGCACCATTTTGATCCACAATTTTTCCATCTTTTAAAGAATGTATACGTATTACTTGTTTTCAACCATTCCGATATATTCATACCTGTACTATGTACCAAAAATCGACATGAACTTTCCAGACAACCCGATACAATCTAAATAAATTGGAAGGTCTGTAGAAGAATCACTCTGTTTATTCACAAATCCCCATAAATTTACAAGAAGGAATTGCAAAATCTTTGTCCTATAAATTCAACAGAGGAACCGTACAAATCCATTCGACGTCTCTCCAGCATGGCGCGCGTTGCATTAAACGTAAACGTGCGACGGACGAAATTCGAGACTGTGGGAAAATGGAAATTTTCGTTGCGGCCGTTATCATGTCACGCAAAATCCAGGTCCATTCGGTGGCTGGGCAGGAATACCCCGTCTGTTCATGCGACAAGCGTGTTCCTCCAGTCGCTGTGCCGCCTTGTTCTCGTCCTGTTTGTTGTTGCTCCAAAGACGCTCGGCAGCTGCGCTGGCCCTTGGCCATATCCTGGGATGCACGTTGTTCCTGAAAGGGAGAATATAAATTACATAACGCGTTTACCTCTCTCTCCCCCTCTCTCTCTCTCTCTAGAAATAGCCGTGACGTTCGTAAAATACAACTGGATTAGGGAGATGTATATTATTCGCTTAACTACTCCGAGTCTATGGAATGAATGAAACATGAAATTTCAAGAAATCCACGTTTGGGACATTGTTCAAATTGGGATATGTTGGAGTTTGTATGAGAATAGGAGGGGTTTAAGTCATCACTTTGCTGTTTTTGAAAAAGTTTAAAAAATACAGGTTCTCAAAAGTGACAATCCATGCTGTTTACTTTAGGAGACTTGATTCTTTGAGTTCCTATGTCGAGTGAGGCTTGACAAAAATGTACTGAAATCAGAATATTTGGACTGCACAAGGTTAACTTCATTTCTATCGACCTAACTTGCGTGTCATTAATGTCTCAACTACATGATACTACGAAGTAGCTACGAAAATAAAAATACAGAATCTCAAACGTGATCAATTCGTGCTATTTTCTTTGAGAAACTTAATTCCTATCGATCTAACTTGCTTGTCATTAATGTCTCCAGTATATAATACCATGAAGTATTAACGATTTCCAACTTTGTCCAAATAAAATTTCTTTGCGAATTTCTATTGAATGGTACTCGAACACACGCAACGAAAAGCGTTACCTGTCGACGAATTCGCCCCACATGCAGGCCTCCCCGCCCAGCATCAGCCCCGAAGCATTCGAGGCGCCAATAAACGAGAGGGGATCGCATTTGTAAAATTTCTTCCAATCGCCACCGCCAGCGACGTGGTCCAGATACCAGCACGCCGATAGCAACACAGGATGGCCCGCTTTGGTCGCGTTTTCGAGTTCCTTTGACCAGAGGCCCGTCCACACGTGAACCACCGTGCTGTTTGGCATAGCGACGCCGTTGTCGAACACCTGCAGTGTTCAAGTCCCATGTTAGCATAACTGAAATTCTAATACCTTCGCCGAAACTTCTGTCTCGAATTTGATTTAGTTTAACTAAATCTCGGCAAATTCGACGCATTTTCGCTGTTACTGCAAAGGGACGTCAAGTTTATTTCGATAAATTGGATTGAGGCGAATTCATTGAGGCCTTCAGGCGATCGTGATGATTTTACTTTGGACAAAGTACTCGACGTTCTATCCTGATGAAATAATTCAAAGGTTGTGATATCAAAGTAGAACAGTTCCAAAAATGACTGTACTTGAATTGACTGTAATTGAATTTAACTGTAAAAAAATTGACTGTAATTGAATTTGACTAGTAAAGGCGGTTTTAGTAATAGTGGAGTAGATTCGAAAATAACTGTACCCGATTTAACTGAATTTAATTCTTGACTAGACCAGGTGTTTTTAATATTTAACTTGAATAGCATTAACGATTGCGTTACCTCTTGCCACACAATGGCATTCGCCTGCAGAGAGTCCGTGATCTGAAGAAGCTTGGCTATGTATTCTCCCTCGAGGCGCACGTAATTCCTGGATATATTGTGCGCATTCATGTACGCGTTGACTTCCGGATTGCTCTTCCAGCAATCAAAGGGCACCTCGTCGCCGCCTAGATGGACATATTGATCTGGAAATACCTGCACGATCTCCGCGAACAGATTTCGCAGGAAATCGTAGAGGCCGTGATGCGTTGGATTCATGGGGCCCAGTTTACCATTTGGTCTGCCTGTCGAGTCTGAAGCGAAACGATGCGTTTTTCTGTCGATAAAATTCGCGGTACTCGAACGATCCATCGCGATGGACGGATGAACGATGGAACGTTCGGGAAATATTCGATGTTAAACGTGAGATTGTGGTATATATTTACCGTAACAAGGAGTCAATAGTTCAGGGTAAGCCAAACCCCATGACCTGGTATGTCCAGGGGTATCGAATTCCGGCATTACTCGAATTCCCCTCAACCTGGCGTAGTCAACGATCTGCTGGATGTCGTTTAGGGTGTATATCATCGAAGGATGGTATGCTCCCTTGGCAGACAGTTCTGGAAAGCTGGAGCTCTGATAAGGAAAGCTGTTGTCGTCGACGATGTGCCAGTGAAGAACGTTCATTTTGTTATAGGACATCGCGTCAAGAGTCAGCAATATGTCGTAGATGGGCAAGTAATGGCGCGACGTGTCCAAGAGGAGACCGCGATGGGGTAGTTTTGGCCTGTCCACGATGGTCTGACACCTTATCTTCAACTAAGGAAAATCAAATCTTCGGATGTTTCAAGAGAAGAATTTTTTAAGAAAAATTAGACTGAATTATGAATTTCTTCTGAGAAAACAGACTGAATTATGAATTAAAAGAAAGTTGAAAATAGATTTGCAGGATTCAGTTTGACAATCAGGTGTTCGATCGAGGTGACTCTAGGGGGATAAAGTTTTTAATCGTTTTGAATCATATTTTTAGCGGACTCACGTTGGGTCCATCGCCAGCTGAGAATAACAGCTGAGAAAAGGTCTCGAGACCTCGGAGAATTCCCCATACCGATTCCGCCACGAGATTGGCCACAGTAGACGTTTCATTAATGCTGAGAGTATCTGCGTAAGTTAAGGGTATTATTTAAGGTCTTCTGTACGCTGAAGATTACAGTTTCCAAGAATATCGAAACTCTTATTAGTTTGCAAGATAATCCAATTTTATTATACGTCGGATAATACGGAACTTGTTTATAATTCTTGGAAATGTTTTTATTATATACAGTGTACCAAGTTTTTCTCGCTGTACCTAAGCTTCCAAATATTTCAAACGTTTAAAAGTCTCCGAACTAGAATATTTTCTCAAATTATTTGGTACAAGAAGTAATCCACGAATTTTATAGAATAATATGCGTGAATCCAGATCTATACGCGATTTCATCGAGACAGGAAAGGTCACAGTGCGCGGAAAAGGCTTAAACCGTTTCGATAGTGGGTTGGTTAGAAGGAATGTGCATGCGTGTAATCTCCTGACTCTATTCCTCTCATTAATCGCTTTGCTTGACCTCGAAACTGAGCGTGATAAGAAAAGATGAAACGAGATCCAATCTCCGTGTCTCGCCTCTGTCTCAATCGTCCCTGACTGTACTAATCGACACAATTACTCGCGTATCTTCGAATTCTGTTGTTCGCACTTCGTTTCGCGATCAAGCGATCTGAAGATCGCTCGTAATCTCGACGCTTTTGACGTTCGCAAATAATGCTTCGCGCGCAATATTACACCGTTTTAATCGGTCGAATATTCCTTAGTCATGTGTATCTTTCGACTACAATTTTACAATCGGAAACTACATACACTTAACAAAACAGTGTACGCTACGATCGAGGAGCGGAATAATCAGCAATGACGTCACTTGAGCGATCCATTGACACTCGCCGATTTATCAGTGTTTACAAAACGAACGGTTTGCAAGTAGCATTTTCTTCGTATAAAACAAATACAAAATTTTTCCAAAGAAACGCAGAATAAAGTCCAATCACACCGAAGTGATAAATCGTATTTTAAGTGAAATGTTAAAAATCGTAGAAGTAGATTAAGTGGATTAGCGATGATTGTACCTCCTTCTGTGGTACTGGAACTTACATAATTCCTTCATTTGTAAATGGGGCCAGTGGTTGCCGTCCTTTTCGCAAGGTTCTCCCAGACGAATGTCCAAGGCGGTGAGTATACCCTTCGTGGTGCCATTGCCTCTTCCAGACGAGGATGGAGCGCGTCCATGCGAGGAGATCCTCGCTATCCGAGCTTCCTTCAAGATGATCGCTTTGTACCTTTCGACTGCTTCGACCACTATGTCGCAAGTCTCGCCAACTACCTGCATATTTAATTGCATAATGATACGATATTAACACGTTCACTGCCAGACTAAAACTCTTGAAAATTTCTACCGTGTTTAAATTTTGTTTACAAACTATTAGAAGCTGTGTAATGAAACATTCATTTTGGTAACTTTAGTTTTGTAACTTCATCAAAATTCATGTATTTTATTTAAATTCATTTTCTATGACACTTAACTTTCAGAATTAATAGTTTTCGTTTTTCAATGAAAAGCACTGTCACCCATATATGGGTGACGTGGCGATCAACGCGTTAAATGGGCAACAGGTGAGGATGCACTTACGGACAGCTGGAATCCGACCAAGAGACGTGATCGATTTAAATCGTAGCAATAAGGTATACTTAACGATGTAAATTGGTATTTGAAGTCATTTTTTAAATTAATACGTTGATCGCCATGTCACCCATGTATGGATGACGGTACTTTTCACTGAAGAACTAAAAAAATTAATTCTAAAAATCTTCAAAGAAAGTAAATTTGAATGAAATTCTTGGAATTCTTGGATGTTTGATTATGTAGTTTCCAATAGACTGTAAACAATATTTAATTACATTAGACATTTTCAAGAGTATCACAGGCCCAAAGGCTGTTCAAACATTGAGACCCATGGAGTACAGTAAACACGCTGTATTCTACACAAACGACCAAGGAACTCAAAAATTAGACTTAGAGTCTGGATTACATTCAGAAACTGTACGAAAGACGAAGACCCTGAAGTGGTTTCCAAGAGCAGAAAACGAAACACTCCAGAGTCCCTCTTCTCACAACTTGTTCAGCTCAGAAAAAAAATTCATAGTCTCGAGTATAAAAACAGTTTACGAGATAGCAGTGCTATCAATCTTTAGTTTAGGTCACCACCGTGCTGCAAACTTTGAAAAAGTAGTAAAATGGATCTCTGCGTATTTCCTTCCAAGAGCCCAACTTAGGATGCTCCAAGCTCCCCAAGGACGTTGAGTAAGAAAGTAATAATAAAATTACCCTTAAATACTAAAAATATCTACTCCTTTCGTACAAAAATATCTAATTTTATTAAAGATAGAAACCGATCTGGTTTCCACCGATCTGAACTCAAATCACGTGAGATTTTAAAAGTCGAACTGTCTTAATACTTAAATTACTGCACTTAAAATTATCATTATTTATCTTTTTATTCTACCTAAGAGTTGAATCTTTCTCGCTGCTAAGGGACCTGTCCTAAATTTGGTATCCCCCATAACCCATGTTAAATTAAAAAAAAAAAGAAAGATTCCCTTTACTCACGTTGAACTGGAAGGTGGAGGCTCTCAGCAAGTAGTAGGAATTGCTGAGACGTCTCAGGTTGGGCAGTGGCCAAGGTTCGCCTTGCGTGGTCTGGACCCAAGGTCCAGCGTCGGGGTTCAAGGAGGACGTTTGGCAGACGAGGGTGGCTAGTAGCAACGGTATCAGGCCCAGCAGCGACGGTTTCATGTTCGTTTTGCGAGCGTTTCAGGTGTTCGATGGGAAAACGATGCGACGCCACCGAGTGGTCATCGTCTACTGAACGCGGCGAACGATGCGTACGATAACGAGAGTGGTAACGACCTTAGCCAGCGCCACTTAACTTTCATCACTCGGTTGGAGCGGACCTACTCACGGTCAAGTGGGAACAACCAGTCCACGGTCTGGACGTGTCCTTATGTATTCTTCTTTTCGCGAGACGGGATTGAACTCTACAGGCTGTTAAACGGCGATGGGACGTTGACACTGGGTTTGGAATTTTTAATGCCACACGCTGCGATTCGCGTACAGGTTTTGGGATGCTAGGAAGGTGATGGTGCGCGTCAAGTATGTCAAATGAAGAAAATACACGGACAGGTATAATGACGATACTAGCGATAGAATTTAAACTGGTAAACCCTTAAATGCCCAAAGTTTCAAATTTGATACTTGACTTTTAAATCGAATTGTATGCTTTCAATTTGTTTATTTTCATTATTTGGTATCATTGCATAATGTTCTTTTGAACAAAAGATAAAAAAATAAACGTCAGCTGTCAAATTTGTTCAAATAATAATTAAAATTAATTTGGAAAATCAGGCTTTTAAGAGTTAACGATAGAATAGACAATTATAACGATGATATTAGGGGAAGAATTTCATGTGCTCCCCAGAATTTTAACCAGGAGTACCTTGTCTGCTTATGACTTCAATCGAAACACATTAATTATTGAATTTCATCAAAAACATTTTAATTATCGACAGATTATCAAAAATAATCAAATTACTAAACGTATTATTAAAATTTACTGTTGAATAACAGCAATTGTGATTTCATATTTTAAGATACTTATCGAGATCAAATGGTCTTTTGGTACCTAATAACGTAGTTATTATTTTAATTATTAAACGTTGAGAGCACGCAAATATTTGAATCGGTTTGGGAATAGAGGAATTTAAACGATGCACGCTGCCTATCTTGTCTAAATTAATTGGAGAACGAAACTCAGCCAAGCGTGATCTGTTCGCGATATCGACGATGTCGGAGCGTCGGAGTAGTAGAGTGCAAAGGTCGACGATCGTTTGAGTTATCGGAAGTGAATGTCGATGGATCGTTAAGATTACTCCTGGGAATCCCACATTATTTTCTTTCTATGTAAACACGAACGATTCGAGGACAATTTTGCAATAATTTTTCTATTCGAGACCTTGAGCGAAAAAAGATAACATTGTCTTACTTTTACTATGTATTAGACACTGTAAACATTCAAACGTTCAATATTCAACAATTTTAACTACGCTATAGTATTCTGACCAAGATGAAAATACTTCCTATCGCCCGTTACATTAATACAATGAGTTTGCTGCAGTTGTTTACCTCGCGATGAGTCGGTCACACGTGTAAACGACGGTGGTTAATAAAATACGCTCACGTTTGATTGTTTCTGAAACAATAAAACGCCAAGTGCAGCAACACCTATTGCCGTGCGTGTCACTTGAATGCATAGAGACGCATTTGCATTGAATGCAAAATTTCCTATTACCCGTGTATGCATCACTCGCGTGCGGATTGCGCCCACTTCCGTAGAAACCATTATAGTCACGAACCCAAACGAATTCGAATCACTATTTTTAATTCCTTCGTTCCACGATCGTCACTTGTACATTCGGTTCGTCCGATTTTCTACAATAAACCAGTGCTGAATCTCCCGCGGAGAATAATATTTCTAAAAATGAAAATTCCGTTGGAAGTTCGAGAAATTATCAAGTTAATTCTGGGTTGGCGCAAATTGACCAATTAACTTGCCACGTAACGACGTCACGTAACTTTTATTCTACGTGCTTATTCCTCGCAGTCGTCGAGCATTTTGCGAACTGTTGCACGAGTCTGTATTATTATTTTGCTAAGCGGTACAGACTTTCGCAGACACACGTGTTCCAGTTTTTCTCAGGTTTGGAAAATTTGTGCAAAAGATTAACATCCGATCTCGTCGTAATGGCAAGTTTTGCGCGAGGATCTCATTATGCTCGCACGATACACTCGCAAATTCAGGCGAACGCAATTATCTGGGAATCGCCTTCGTAATTGTGCAAGGTGAACGAGTGCCGAAGTTGGATTAATTATCTCAAACAAATTAGTTTGGTCAACGTTCTCGCGCTTGTTATAGTTTGTTCGTGTACGCTCGATAACAAATTGTTTCGTCGCGACACCGTCCTCGCTCCGCACATGCGTGCGAACTTGATAAAATATTCTGTATTTGTCAATTAAATCCAGCTCGTATCATTCATACTAACGCGTTACACCGATAATAAATTAAATACTCTCGGTATCTCCTAGTTTCCTAATAAACTCGTTTCTCGCAATTTTGGATCAACGCCAGTCGCCAATCGAAGGTGTCAAATACTTGTTTCCCTCGAATGAGCCCTCGAATGAATTTTTCACGTCTGGCCAGCCGTGATATAAAACGGAGCAGAACAATGTCTCGTAAGGGATTCCAGCGTTACGTTTTACGACATCCTCCCCTGTTTTCGACGGACGCTTTTGAATCCCTAAGTCGTTGGGTCAACGCAACTTTATTAAACGCCGGTCCAGATACGAAGAGGAGGGTCAACCCTCGGAGATTAGCAGTTCGAGGTGCGAAGGAATGAAAAACGGTGGAGACGGTCTCGAAACGCCTGTGTTATCAAAGCCGCCACGATGCCCGATCGTAAAACACGGGCTTGCGCATTTCCTTCGCTTTCCACCAACGACGACAACGATTTCTAACTTTTCATACGACGAGCATTCGTTGGTCGAACGCGTCCCAACGTCTTAACGTCGAACAGAGCAACTGGAACGACGAGAAAAAAAAGAGGAAAAAGTATCGATCACGGTTTGTCTCATAAGCGGAAATTTCTGCTAAAACATCGGATAAAGAACGAGTTTATTTGTTGGAATCGAAGGACGTGATAAATCTCGTACCTGGGGGGCATGTGGAAAATAGAGATAGGGAGCAATTTTATTCGAACGTGACGAATATAACTAATTTATCGTTTGGACGGTTGGATTTGATCGTTGGGAAATATTTTGTTCTGTAATTGAGACTCTTGTTTTTATTGTAGGAGTAGAGAGTGAATGAGTTTAGCTTGTCTATTAGTCCTTGTTATCTAGATATGAATTTCTACGTCCACTTGGAAAGGAATGATGAATGAAAACTGTGATACAGGTCTTGAAGTACTTGGAACCATTCGTTGTTAGGTGACTGAACGAAATATCAGTTTTCAGGGAATGAATTTCGAATGTTGCACATTTTAGGTCGATAAAGTTTTTATTTTTCAACCTAAACATTGGAAAATCGTAGACATTTTTCGGTTGAAAAGACATGGGTGGCAGGGAACCACTAGTTGGTACGGCACTGCTCGGTGAATCGTAGCTTCATTGATTGCGATGTCGTACGCCGGGTCGACGGCAGAGTTGGGCATAATCTAGATAAAAAAGCTATCTATACGTAAAGCCGAATGAAAGATAATTATATTTACCCTTCACTCGAGCAGTTAAGATAACTGAGCTATTTTACATTTATAAAAATGGGAGATAATGGAAAAATATGTTTAGCGTAGGTAGCATAGCAGCCACATCAGAAGTAACCGAGTAATATATCAATCTCCTTTGTAAGAAATGTAATCAAAAAACATATAATAATTCAACTACCTTTTTTCCCGTGTTTCCACTACAAAAAAGATGAAAGTACCATCTTTCACTTCCAACTGCAAACTGTAAAACGAAATGTCAAGTTCCATCGATCACCCTTCATCAGGTAAATTTGACAGTCGAGTACTCGTAAGTACTAAACGGAGGAGATTGAGGGAATCGAGTTCCATCGACCTTCTCGTTCAGCCCTAGCTGCCGAGCAATTACTTTATCACGGAAAATGAGGCAAAAATGAAGAAGTGGCCCTGGGGAACTTTTGAACACCTCGAAGTAACCGATCGAAGAGAAAGACGATCCTCCAAAACGAGTTCTCCATTTCTTCTAGCATCCCGTCACGAGGATACGCGAGCTTGGACGCCAGAAAAAGGATCCACCACGGACAGATGCGTTCCTGACCGACCCTCTGCTACCAAAACACCTTTTTCTTGAATGGGAAACGGAAACTGACCGTTCAGAACGACTCCACAAACGGGTGCATGCTTTGCGACTGGTACGATAAACGACGGGGACAAACAAAATGAATCATGTTTGGTAGGCAAGGGTTGCGTCAACATGGGATTCTCATGTACAACGACAAGTATACAAAAAGTGGCGAACGACTTCAGTAATGTTTACAGTGTAGTACATTTACAAATTGATCGCGAGTCTTTTGGAAAGATGTTAGAGATTGTTTCAAGGAAAACAAAAGAAAGGCTCGTTAAAATGAAGATTTCTGTATTTGTTAACACGCTGACTGTCACCCAACTCGTGAAAGTTTCTACAAGCCTTACACTTTGTTTTTATATAATCGAAATTTATTTTTGTTGAATTTAAACTAGTACTTATTTTCGCAATTTCGCCAAATTCATGAATCCTATACAGATGTATTATCTTTAACATCTCATCTTCAAAAGTGATTTATTTAATTCAGTGAAAAATCCTGTCACCCATATATGGATAACATGGCGATGAACGTGTTACTACACTTGTATATAGGATATAAAAAATGATTCCCACTCTCCAACATGCCTAATACACCATCCAACTACCATCAATGGAATATCGTCACAATTCATTACAAAAAAAAAAATGTACAAAAAAAGTTATTTTCCCAAAGCATCTACCCCTCGACGATGGCACAGGCCTAACGAAGGAATCACAGGAAGAAAGCATCGTGAGTCGAAAAATCTCCCGGTTGATGCTGCACGTCGTGCCGAGCATGGATCCGCGCGCGCATCTGCGCGAGAGGGAGGGTTCTTCCCCGTTGTTCTGTTAGGGGTAGTTGGTCGTAGGGAAAATCGCGAACGGAGTGGGGGGTCGGGGCAGAATCGAGCGAACGACTCGCCGGTGTCGTTGCCGGTGATAGTAGTAGTCGGACGTAACGACGCCGATGACGTCGACGGAGGGCGCTAGCGACGCGGTCGACTTAATCGCTGGTAGTAGTAGTAGCCGGGTGGTGGTGGTCGGAATCGTAGTGGCGTGCGTACACGCGACGTGCTCGTGTACCAATGGGGGTAGGGAGCTTTGACAGCGTCCCTGAGTGGTGGTAGCGAGAAACGTGCGAGCGAGATAGAGGTATAGAGGCGAGCAGGCAGCGGCGAAGCGAAAGGGTGTTTCACTCGGCTCATATTAGACTAGTCTGTCAGTGCGCGCGGTTCGGCGGTGGCGCGATACTCCGGTTAGTGCGGTGGCTGGTAGAAACCAGCGTCTATTCGCGCGACCACGTTTCCGTGGAAAGAGATAACGTTAGGGGCGAGTCTGACGGAGCGAGAAGGACAGAGTGAGAAGGAAAGAGAGGAGACTGGGAGAGAGACAGAGGGGTGCGTAGGTGTGTGCGCGCCGGCGACGCTGGTCTGGCAGCGGTAGAGAGAGAGAGTGGTGCACGGAAGTGGCGGTGGCGAGTCGCGGTGGATGGTGGATAGTGGCGGTTCGGGCGGTAGGTTGGATCGGTCGTTTGGAACGTCTTCGTCTTCGTCGTCGTCGTCGTCGTCGTTCGTGATCGTAGTGGATCGAGAGGAAGGTGCCGGGGACGCGTGGAGGAGCCGAGCCAACGGAGACGAGACGACGACGGGACCGGAGAGAAGAGACGCGAGGATGAGATCGATAAGGAGGGAGTTGAGGTGTGGGTTTCGCGAAACGGGGACGCCGCGCCGCGCGTAGAGACGCGGCTGGTAAACATACGCGCGTAAAATACTCACGCAGGGCGGCCAGCCAGGCACGCACCCACGCACGCGCCCCGACGCTCGAGAAGTCGGTATCGTCGCGGCTGGACAATCGGAGGCGACGCGATCGCCGGGACTCACCCTCATCCTGAGGATCGGGAGACGGAGAGGGAGAGAGAGGAGAGAACCGGGAGAAGCAGGGAAAGAGGGAAGACGGATACCTATCGGATTGGAGCTGACGGATTCGCCGAGGAAACGGGATCATCCTCCTCCCTTTCTCTCTCCCCCTCGATCTCTATTCATCTCCGCTCTATGGGCTTTGCCGACGAAAGAAGGTCAAAGATCGATCGTCGAGTACGAGGGTCGTGACCTCACGCACACGTACACACACGTATACGTCGGACACGCCAGCTACACCTAGCCACGCGCGCGATAGGAGCGCGAAGGTGGATCCTCGCGAGAAAGGAGCAGAAGGATCGAGACGAGAGACTGCTGGCTGCCCATGGGCGAAGGTGGATCCGAGAACGATGAGGCAAATCGATCGCACGGCGAAACGGTGTTCTCGTCGATCGACGTGTTAGGCGTTGTCGTCAATGCCCGCCACTCGTGGACGAACATTTCCGCGTAGAGTAGAAGATCCGGCACGCCGGCACGCCGTCACGTTGCGTCTAAGATCGAGACGCGATCGCTGCACTCGAGCTGGACACCGGTCGGTCCTAAGTGACTGGATATACGTGAGAAATCGGGGACGAGTGGACGCGCGTAAGCTCGAGGATCTCCACGCGCGTTTCAGACGCACCGCGTCGCGGGGCAACGTGCCACGATGAACAGAGACTCGATAACAGCTCGAAGGATCTAGAGATCTAGACAGCGTTAGAACACGAGTAGAGAAATCGAGCCGATTATTCGGCGATCGAGAAACGACCTAGCGACGACTGAGTAGGAACAGGGATCCGGAAGACTAGAAGTATCGACAGAGTATATCGAACCTGCGCCACGATCAACAAACATTCGTAGAAGAGAAGAAACGATAGAGCGTTAGCATACGGAGTATCGTCCAAGTGGGATTCAAGGGACTGATGTAAGCTCTAGCACTAGAAGAACAAGCATAACAATTTTTTACCGATCGAATGTCAGGGTGTCGACGAGTCGAGAACCTACGCCAAGATGATCCACGAGTAACGGCATAAGGAAACTCGAAGGACTCGGACACTGGACACGATATAAAGTATAGGAATCTTCGTAACGATAACCCATGATAGGACGAACCGACACTTTGTACAATCTATCTAGATATCCAGCGTTAGAATACGAAGTATCCCTCGAACGATCGCCGCGGATACCAGAGGATATCGAGCCAGAAGAGTGACCGATTAGAGCAGAACGGTTATCCGCGGAGCAGCGCACAGCGCGAGCTGACGGAGTCGTCCACGAGAAGGCGGAAGCGCGACGAAAACGTGTCGGTGTGGTGAACCCAGGGAGGAAGGATGTCGAGGGACCCGTACTCGAGCGGAAGCGGAGTGGTCGGGCCAGGAGGCGGCACTCGTTCGCCGCGAAGCGGTCGTCGCGTGGGCGAGTTGCCCACGGTCGACCGTAGCCCGTCGAGGAGCTACGCGAGCGGTCGTGGTAGTCCGTTGGGTCGGAAGAGAGGCACTCGTAGCGGCAACAACTCGCCGGAGCACCTCGGATACGGCAGCTACCATCACCATCAGCTGGGCAGCCCGTACTACTCCCGCGACGAGGACCTCGGCAGTCCCGTGATGCTCGAGGAGAGGGGCAGGAGTATGTCAACCGGGGGCGGTGGGGGCGGACATCACAGATCCAGAAGCGCCTCGAGACCCGCCATGTCCAGCTCGGCGGGCATGTCGGCGAGGTACCCCAGCCTCGATCGCGCGTCAGCGGGGCTGCTCGATCATGATCGCGAGTTCGTGCCTATACGGGATCCGCGGGAACGGAGCCGCGACCGCGGCCTCTACCTCGAGGACGAGCTCTACGGATCGAGATCGGCCAGGCAGAGCCCGAATCCTCACATGCTGCGAGACGGCGGTGTCTACATCGGCGAGCTGCAGCACCAGAACAACGATCTCCAACGCGAGCTCGGGAACCTCAAGAAGGAGCTCGAGCTGACGAACCAAAAGCTCGGCAGCTCGATGCACAGCATCAAGACCTTCTGGAGTCCCGAGCTTAAGAAGGAGAGAGCGTTGAGGAAAGAGGAGAGCACCAAGTACAGTTTGATCAACGAACAGCTGAAGTTGCTCAACTCCGAAAATCAGGTCAGTCGAATGCGGATTTCCCCGTTCTCTTCTTCATCGTTACGATTAATTCATGGTATCAGGGGGTTGTACGTTACGATTTCGAGACACCCCTCTGATAGACCGTGCGTTCTCGTGCCCCATTTCGGTGACGTTCGCGCCGTGGAATTGAGGTCGATTCGATTAGGTCGAGTTCTCGCCAGTGATTGATCCTGCGGGTGCCGAATCCTCACACTGAACTTGGGGAACCATAAAATACCTCCGATAACCGTAAAGTGTACCTTTTCGAGTATATATCGTTTAAAAGTCTCTGGAAGAAAACCGTAGGAAAATTTGCACTTCCTCGGCGGTTATCCATCAACACAGACCGTCTCGTTTCTTTTTGTTTTTTCAAGATGTACTTTCCCAACGCTTCGTAATAGACGCGTTTATTGATTGGCCAAAAATGCAGCGCGATGGGGGAGCCACCGATAGACCGATTCCGCGAGCGTTTTCAGCTAGATCGTAGAACGTAATATTCCAACGATTGAACGCGACGAACGGATGGGATTCGATTAGGTTCTCATTGATAGTTGACCGTGACGTTACCAATTGAAGAGCCCGCGACCATTCACAATTGGCATCGTAACAAGTTCAGTTCGAATTCGGCATCTTCTGCGTTTCTTTGAACGAGAGGTGTACGCATTGCCTTCGAGGACGTCGACTGGATCAATATGTTAGCCGTTCCCGAAGCCCGTTGCGTATTTATGTAATGTCGGGCAAAGTCGCGCCGCTCTTCTTTGGAAGCATTGTCTTGAGGAGCGATTAAAGACGTTTGCCTTCGATGACGTGCAATTTGTCCACTGCTCGCGAGCTGTTTGTCTGCAGCGTCATTGGATCTCATTCGTGGATCACGTGTTCGTTCGTGACGAGTCTTAAGTAGCTCCTGCCGAGTCAAGTTCTGGAGCAACGTGTGTCTCTTTTTAACGAGCACTCGACTATCGCGTGGTTTCTTTTTAATGGGTCCTTTACCGAGCGACTTCTGCTCGAGCTTCTGAATTCGAACACACCGAATTAACGATGGACTTGGCTGAAATAAGTCGAATTATGAGGCCTTGGAGGATAATAATCGCACTATAAGGATTTTAATTTTGATTACGCTTAATCCGACAGATGTCAAATGGGACGTACCAATGGAAACGTTAGTCAGTCATAGATCATAATTTTTTAAATTCAATCTAGATGAGAATAGTTATTTTTAGGACTTGCGAGCGGTGTATAAGATCATGTTTATGATGCTATGTAATGGTCCACTGGTTCGATACCGGATAATCAATCAGGGGGGCAATTTATCCGCCCATTTTTAACTTGTTTGGAGTTTAAAAATAGTTCTAAAGACTGTTTTATTTTACCCAACATTTTTTCCAAATAGAAGCAGGACGTGCTACAACGGTGCTTATTTTTGGAGCCTTCGCAGTCTGTCGGTGACTGTCAATCTGCTCCCAACTAGTTTGTGATTCAAGTTTATTAAAATTCACCCTTCGATCTGTAATCCACCATCGATTATTAATGGCCCCATCGCCAAATTGTTTCCAGAAGTCGATCGTAATTTAGTTTACGGCGTTTTAAATTCCCTCTCGTGACAGACGGTCAAACAGAATGGCACGTGCGTTATCCGTCAATGTTGCTGCGTTTGGCTGGCCCCAGCATATTTTTGGCCGCGATGGCGATGAGACGGGCAGTGCATGAGTCATTGCCACCTAGAGTAGAAGAATCTCAGAGAGTCAGATTCCCTGGCTGTCTGCCCACGTTTGTTCCTTTTTATCTGCCGTCTGCTCCGCGAGCAAGTCGAGGGAGGCTACTCTTACGTGGCAACGACACGTGCCATGCGATCACGAGCATCGTCGTCGCGCCATTGTTCCATGAGACGTTCCCCAACGAAGGGTTCGAGGTCGAAATTGCATAATTGCCCTCCTCTGGCCTCCGAGACGTCACTGGGCGTCCCTCAAAAATTGGGGCGCAACGAGTTGACGAAACATTGAACGTGAACTTGGTCGTCGAGAGGCTGGTCGGGTTTTATTTCGAAAAAAATACTACTCCAGATATGAAACAGAATTACACACTGTGTAATTATTTATTTGGAAGATTTATTCCATTGAATATTCTGCTTAGCTCTTATTACTCCATTAACCTTTTGCACCACAAATTTTCTGATTTCTGTGTTTACAATTGAGGGCACACAATCTAAAAATGACCAACACTATCGTTTAGGGCAAATGCCCTTATCTGTACGCACGAAGAAAGACCAGTTTTCTTTAAAAGCTACACTGTTAGGATTTAAACAAAATTTTGTTTATACTAATTTTAGTGCAAGATAATCCTAAATATTAAATTACATTGGCGCGAGAAACAAAATAATTCAGGTCCGAAAGGGTTAACATGTGATACATCAATTTTATCGAAATAGTGGATGAAACCCTGAGCAATTTCTATATAGACAATTTTCTCCATCTGTTAATCGAGTATTTAAAAAAATAAGTAAACGCAGGAATAATCGTTTTCCTCTTGGAAAATCCTGGAGGTCGATCAAAAGTTCTCCACTGTTAGCAAATTCGCAGTCCCGTCCCCTACCCTCCATTAACATCGGAAACTTCGGAATGGAACGCGCAAAAAACGCATTAAACGGGTGGAAAACCGGTGGGGTAGTCCGACGCGGGGGTGGAATTAATTTTCCTTTTCTGTCGGGTCACGTACGCCAGCAGCCTCGAAATTGGCATACTCTGGAAGTGGGTCGTAAAAAACGCGACGAAGCTTTTGCAATGTTATCGTTCTGACGATATCTCGCATTGTTGTCTCCCTTCCTCGCCCGTGTCATCCCCTGTCCCCAAAAACGCAGGTTACCGTAAAGGGGCGGAAATTAAACTCCGTGGCTCGCTGCGTCCAACCGTTGCCGACAATCTTCCTTTCCTTTTTCCGCTTTTTTTCTTCGTGTCGTTCTATCGATTTCTCTTTGTACAACGATAATTAGTAAACGTTTTTTGAAAATGGCGTTGAGGACAATTTCGAAAAGAATCGAGTCAGAGTAACCTTTATATATTTTAAATAAAACTTAAGCGTAGACTGTGCTCCTGAGAGGAATATTACAATGTAGCAAATATTCTTCGTCAAAGGAGCAAAATGTAGTTTGCTCATCCAAGCAAAGGACAATTGAATTTCTCTTTCTACAATTATTCTACAGAGTTCATATTTAATTACCCAACGTGATGTACAATTTCTAGACGAAACCGTTTCAGGAATAAAACATTAGTTCAGTCTGAAATTTTGTGTAATTATTGAGAACGCACAGGGTTGAAATTGTACATCGTGTGCAGTGAATTAATAGTAATGCCAGACGACTGAGAAACGAGTGGTAAATTAGTCACACGAAATTCAATTGTGATTCGAGCAAGTAATTAAATATGAAATCTTCGCGACGCTTGTGTCGTCGACAAAAGTTTAATTCTTGGAGGTGGGGACGGTGTTGGAGGCTCGACAAAAGGAATTGATTTCAACACAGGAAGAGTGGGATAAATTACGTGGGCTCTGTTGGCCACGGGATTCTGCTCATAACTTAATATCGTTAAAGTGGGCTCCTTAATAGTTGGTACTCGTGCATACCGCCGCTTTAATTCACTTGAACTGCAGCTGCCACTCAGTGCCGTACCCAAATCAAGGGCACCTGGACCTTAACATTATTTCCCTCGCGTCAATGCTTGATGCTTTTATTTTTTATTTATACAAGGTTTTTAATGTTTATACCAATATCAAATTAAAAAATGACGAGGTGTTTGAATAATAATTTCTTTATATTCTTGGGTCTCCTCGACAGATTTATTCATAATTAGTCGAGGTCAGAGCAGTAGTGAAATTTACTGACATAAATCTCTTTACTTAAGCGAAGTATGAAATCCACCAGAAAGAGATTTAAATTCGTTTACACGGTTCAAAGTTCACGGTTTAAAGATTTTTATTCGTGTTAAAGGTGATGGAAATAGAGGAAGGTGATATTTATGATTCATTTATTTACAGTGGCTGTTAATATTTTCATCAAGCACCTATTTATTTCCCCGTCATTTTTAAAGCAGCCAATTTCCGATTTGAGAAACGCAAACTAGGAGGGTATAAATTCAGCGAACCGACACCGTCGAACGGGGCAAAGAAAGCAACGCGAAAAATCGATACATCGGAAAGCAGGCTACTGGAGGATATTGCCAGCCCCTGTTTTCGCGAAAATAAACGAGCTAGCTTTAATATTCCGCGAGACCCGTACACCGTGTACCTGTTCTTCTCCTTCGTGCGGAGGAGAACCTCCTGGATTTCCTTTCCTAGTTTCGTTCTCCGAGTTTCACGTTTCATGTGGTGAAAAACGTTTTTCGCCGCATTGCCCAGGCGAGGCAAAAAGTTACTGGCCCTCGTGCATTAGGGGAGTTAAACCTGTCTATGTTTTACTCAGGAGTTGAACTTCACGTGTAATTTCTGACTCCAGTTGGAGGCAAAAATCCTTAACTTTGTTAAATTATTACATGGCGTGGATTGCATAGCTATGCATAGCCTTGATGTTAGCCGTTCACAAATCGATTAACTCCACTTTTTGAAAAATCTTAAATTTTTAGTGTAAAAGCACTTGGTGTAGTAATATCTTTTTATATTTATAATAACTTTCTTGAATAGTAAATATTAACACCGTTGAAAGACAATATTTCTTTGGCCATTGAATAATAAATAATTTATTTCAGAGGCCATTTTGATCGCATTTCTCAACCTTTTGTGATATGGAGTCAATCGATTTGTGCAATGAACGGGTCAGTCATAGGTCGTTGAACTCATTCTTCATCGAACAGAAGCTTTTCGAGGATGGAAGATATCGCGGTATCCTCTTTCTAGTAGATCACACTCTGTAATAGTTGACACATATTCATTTCTCATTATTCCTGTAACGAACCCGAGTCTCGTAGAAATTCTCAAAGGTATTACTCAATCAGTCAACGTACCAAAAAAATTCT